AAAAAAAAAAAAGAATAATTGATATACGACGAACTGCATAAATTTAAGGTGTACAACTTGACAGTATTTGACATGCATACATTTTGTGAAATCACTGCCACAATCAAAATAATGAACATATTTGTCACCCCCCAAACTTGTCTTATACCGCTTGGTAATCCCTTCCTATGTCCCCTCCCTGCTACCCATCCTCCAATCCCCAGGCAACTGTTGAGCTGGATTCTGTCACTATAGGATAGTTGGGATTTTTCTAAAATTTTGTATACATAAGAACCACACAGTATGTTCTCTGTTTTGTTTGGCTTCTTTCAAAAATCAAAATAATTATTTTGAGATTCATCCATGTTGTTGTATGTATTAACAGTTTGATCCTTTTATTGTTGAGTACTATTCCATGACATGGATATACCCCTTTTTTTCCATTGCTTATTTGGATTATTATTATTGGATTATTTGGGTTATTTTCAGTTTGAAACTATTGGAAATAAAGCTGCTCTCAGCATTCATGGGTTTTGTATGGGCATATACTTTGATTTTTCTTGCATAATTACCTAAGAGTAGAATGGCTGGATCATATATATGGAGTTATATATTTACCTTTTAAGAAACTGCCAAAATGTTTACCAAAATGGTTGTACCATTTACATCCACACCAGCAGCGTATGAAAGGTCTTGTTGCTCTGCGTTACACCAGCACTTGGTAGGTTTGGTCTTTAATTTTATACATTCTAACAGGTGAAAAATGGAATCTCATTGGGGTTTAATTTGTATTTCCCTAATGGCTTATGATGTTGAACATCTTTTCATATATTTATCTACCATCAGCTCATCTTATTTGATGAAATGTCTGTTTAAGTCTTTTATCCATTTTTAAATTGGGTTATTTGCTTTCTTATTATTGAATTGTGAGAGTTCTTATGTATGATGGATGCCAGTCTTTTATCAAATATATGATATGCAAACATTTTCTTTCAAGCTATAGCTTGTGTTTTCATTCTCTTTTTTTTATTTTTTATTTTTAAAAAGATTTTATTTTTTGACAGAGAGAGACACAGCGAGAGAGGGAACTCAAGCTGGGGGAGTGGGAGAGGGAGAAGCAGGCCTCCCGCGGAGCAGGGAGCCCGATGCGGGGCTCGATGCCAGGACCCTGGGATCATGACCCGAGCTGAAGGCAGACGCTTAACGACTGAGCCACCCAGGCGCCCCTTCATTCTCTTAATATTGTCTTTTAAAAGGGAAAAGTTCTAAATTTTGCTCAAGTCCATTTTATCCATTTAATCTTTCATGGAGTGTGCACTTACTGATATGTCAAAGAAATCTTTGCCTAATTCAAATTTTTCTCCTGTTTTCTTTGAGAAGTTTTATACCTTTAGCTCTTAAATTTGTGACTATGATACATTTTGAGTTATTTTTTATATATAGTGTGACATATGGATTGGAATTTTTTTTTTCTATATGGTATTCAGTTGTTCCAACACCACTGTTGACAAGACTGTAATTCATCTATATAACTGTCTTTTTCACTTTTGAAGAAAATCAGTTGATCAAATATATGGGTCTACTTCTGAACTCAATTCTTTTCCATTGTTTATCTTCTCTAATACCACAGTGTCTTGATTACTGTAGATTTATAAGTCCTGAAATCAGGTAATATAAGTGCTCAATTTCGTCCTACTTTTTCAAAGTGGTTTTGATTATTCTAGGTTCTTTGCATTTCCATATGAATTTTATAGTTAGCTTAACTCTTAACACACACACACACACGTGTACCTACAAAACGCTGTTGGAATTTTGGAGTTTCATTGATTATAAAATCAGTTTGGAAAGAATAGACATCTTAAAAATACTCAGTTTTGCCAACCACAGATAGTATATGTCTCTCCATTTAATACATCTTCTTTAATCTATTTCAGCAATGTTTTAGTATACATCTGTGGAGCTCTCTCTGTTCATCTTTCTCCTCCCAGTACTCTAGCTGGATTGGCCTTTCCAGGTTCCCAAGTGCCTTTCCTCAATGCCGGGCTCACCTCTGTGCTGTATCCAGGTAGTGAGCTGGGCTCATCTCCTTTGTTTCCTGTCACTCAGATTTCACTTATCCTCACTGCTTGGTGTTCAGTGTTTTGGAAATCATTGTTTCATATACTTTGCCCAGATTTTTTTTAATTTAATTTTTTTATGTTATGTTAATCACCATACATTGCATCATTAGTTTTTGATGTAGTCCAGATTTTTAGTTGTTTAAGATGTGAGGGTAAATTCATTTCCTGTCTCTCCATCATTTTCTCTGAGACTTGAAGAATGGCCATAGTCAAAATGATTTCCTGGTTTCCAGAATAATCAACCCCCAAGGAAGGTATTGGTACTTACTGAGATAGGAAGCATTAGATGGAGAATAGGTATTTATATTTTCCCTGTTGATAAGCTCATGCATGACGTTCTTAGCATATGCAGTTTGTACTTCCGGTGACACATTAAGTGCAAAACATAAAAAGTAGTTGGATACTCTAGGCTGTGGTTCAGAAGCAGGGTCCGAGTTGGAAGTAAGAACTTGTGATTTGTCAACATATATTGTGTATGCTATTTGAATCATAGAAGTTGAGGGAAGCAGGAAGAGTGTGGGACCAATTCCTGAGGCTTACGGTAACCTGCAGGTAACCTGCAGTGGGACGGCTGAAGAGGGAAGGAAAACTGGTTGATTGTGTCACAGAAGTCACTACACGAATGTTTCAAGGAACCGGGAGTGGTCAGGTGGGTCAAAAGCTGCACCGATGTCAGTTAAGAAAGGACTGAAAAGAACCTGTCGGAGTCTGCGGCAAGAAATATCGGTGATTCTAGTAAGGGAAGTTAGCCGTAAGGAATGAAGCTGGCGGGAGCCGATGAAAAAGCAAATGAGAGGGAACAAGGAGGCATTATGTTTAAATAGCTCTGTGACTCCTTTGTCTGCAAAGAAGAGAACTTGGAGTTAAGGCAGTTTCGTCAAGATGGAAGGGACCCTTGAAATGCTGACAGGGAAGAGCAGGTAAAGAGGAAGAGCTTCAAGATGCAGGAGAGCGAGGGTGAGCCGCAGAGGGCACCCTGTGGCCAGGAGCCCCTTGAGAGCTGAGAGTGGGCAGAGGACCAGGGCTGCTGGGCCGGCTGGGGTAGGCACTCCTCCCTTGTCACAGTGGCAGGGGGAGGCCCCACGCAAGCAGGAGGCTACGTGCAGCCCCATCCGGTGACTCCGTCTTGTCTTCTCGGAGAAGGGCAAGACAGAGCTGTGTGCTGAGCGTGAGATGAAGCAGCCCCTCCCCTCAGGGAGCTCGTGGCCTTTTGGTGTGCGCTGGTCTGACGAGTTCTTTTATGGTAACTACAAAATACAATGTCATAAACTCGGTCTCACTTTAAGTTTTAAGTTTAAATTTTAGAACATATTTTACTTTTCAAAATTAATGTGTTGGCTTTTTCCTTTATTAGGTAATATGCTCAAGCCAGAAAACTTGAGTAAAAGCAGGATAGATAATCCTGAGTACAGAGCCACTCACGAACCCTCTGTCCAGAGACAGCCACTGTTTGAAGTTTGGATGTGTCTTTCCCATGTGATCTCTGTCCTTGGCTCTTCGTTGGCCATTTTGGTATGTCTGTGACATGATTTGGCCTGATTCTTTGCTTCCATGTGTTTCAGGAAAGAAGCAGAATGCACAGTTGTGTGTCTCAGAGGGCACCCTCTGCGGGTGGGTGGGGCCTCTGTCCCTGCACAGCTGAACAGGCTTTGGCTCCCTTTGCCCACGTGTCCTGAGGTCAGGGTTTCCCTGGAGGCCCGGCAGCCCTGGGCAAACCCAAATCCAGTGCGCAGCCTCCAGAGGAAGCCTGTCTGGCTCCTTCCCTCTCCCTTTGGAGGCCGAGGGATCTTAGTCAGTGTGTCCGAAAGGGGAGCTGGCACCAATCAGTCAGCCAGTACTACTTCCAAACAGTTCTTACGCACATATTCCAGTCAAAGTGGGGTAGTGCAGGGCCAGGCACTGGGGAAGTCAGATGCAACTGCCGGGATCTCCGGGCCAGCATCCCTGTACTAAAGGATGCTGCTGGTTCCGGGGAGTAAGGGAGTTTGCAGCCATGCGGTGCTTCCACATGAGCCTGGAGGGAAAGGTCTCACTGTTCTTTCACAGCAGACGTGGACAGCAGCTGTTGAAGGGATGGAGGCTCAACAGGAAACTTTGGAGTTTTGCCGTGTTGAGCCAGAGATCCACAACTCAGTGAGAGCAGAGCATGAGGGAAAGAAGGGTCCCAGGTCCAGTGAAGCTTTGTTCTTTCAGCAAACACTGCTAGTTAAGCTCGATGCTAGGCACTGGGATGCAGGTAGAAACTGAAGGAGAAGCCCACGGTCTGGCAGAGGCCGAGTCTGTGGCATCAGAGCGGGAAGCCATTCTAAGAAGAAGAAACTCATCTCTAGCTGCATTTATTCCCCTCTCATCTTGGAAGAGTGAGAAAAAGGAAGCAAGCAGATTCCCTAATGAGGGACTTTTCTTAATACCTGGGGTCATATTAATAGATGCTTTCAGAATTAAAAGGAATACTCTCTGCATAGAAGGAGTCCTCCATAAGATCATGCAATGCTTAATAACTATAGCTTGACCATGTTCTTCTAGAAAAAAATAGGGATTTCCCCCTCCCCCAAAGACCTACACAAGCTCCAGCAAGCCACCTGAGAATCTTGTGTTGGCCTCTGCACCACCGTCCCCAGTCTCTATTAATCTGTTTCCAAAAAGAAATGTCACCAGATGGCCCTGCAAATGTCACCTGGCCATCAGCATGGCTTCACCCAAAGCAGGGAGGCATTAGAGAATCTAAATCCATAGTTCATTTTCTTCATTTCAGGTCAGTTTTGGATCCTTTCCTAGGCATTTAGTATTTTGTTAACACACTGGGTTGGACGGTAAGGTCCATAATTGTGCTGCTATTAAAGAAAATTGCTTCTGCATTTAATGGAGGAGGGTTCCAGTGACTCACAGATCCCGATCATTTTGGAAGATCTCGTCTCTTGTTAGCATTTAATGCCAGGTTTTACTGCCCTCTGCTTCATGAACTGTGTACTCCCTCAGCATTCTTAATACCTTGAGCTATTTTTAGCATTTAATCCCTTCCAGGTATCAGAGCCACCAGACCTTTTTTTTTTTTTTAGAAGACAATCCTTCTGTATTTTCAGATTGTGGATGAGTGGTTTTTAGGAATTGAGCTAGTCCTTTTTCAAAATGGGTTTTTCTTTTACTGTCTCTTTAGATTTCATACCCAGCCATGGGCATCAGATCGGGTCTAGTCCTGGCTGTGGTCTGTGTATTTCTCAATTCTAGCAGTTATCAGAAAGTCGCTGACGTCAGTTTGATCCTGGAGGAGGGAAGGGAGCCGAGCTCCACAAACCGAGGAGGTAGAAGCCGCGGCTGGTGGTGGGGCAGGAGAGGTATGGCAGGCCTTTCGGGCAGAGGGGCTCCAAGCCCTGATGTGATTTTGAACTCACCACAGCTTTTGGGGAGTGGCTTACAAAGGGGTCAGAAAATTCACAAGCGGGTTCGGATTAGGAAATTTCCAGCGGGTTCCTGCCCATTGTCACCACCATTTACTCTCCTCTTGGGGGTTGTCAGGGGATGGGAGCGGGGAGAGGGGGAGTTATTGGTTCAAGGATACGGAGTGCCTGGGATGACGCAGAAGTTCTGGAAATGGGTAGTGGTGATGGTGGCACATTATGCGTGTACTTAACACTACTGAATCATACACTTACAGATGGTTAAAATTGTAGGTTTTGTGTAATGTGTATTTTTTCCACTATTAAAAAAAAATACAGGACAACAACAACCCTCTACCAGCATGCGAAAGAGACCTGTAGCTCGCAGAGGAGAGCCCAGAGCAGAGTGTGCTGCGCTGCCCTGCCTCAGCTGAGCACCAGGACAGTCTCAAAGGGGGGCTCCTCCAGTGTGGAAGGGGCTCCAGGAGGTGCAGGCTGGCCTTTCCTCAGCTCCTGGGACCTGGCTCATCACCCATGGACACCTGTCCTCACAAAATTCACTCCTTTTATTTCATTCTCTTCGAATTCTCACTTGTCTCACCACCCCACCCATGAAGTCTCTCTCCTGGGTGCTGAGTATACCCACTTGGAAAAAAAAAAAAAAAGAAAAAGAAAAGCAAAAGTCTTCATTAGAAAAGGTTTTTCTTTCCTAGAAATCGTTGCAATGGTCAAGGGACAGCTGCCCAGCTGTTGAACCCTTCACACTCAGTGCCTGCTTGGGGCTGGATTCCCCGGCACTTTCCACGGGATGGGGGGCGGGGCAGGAGATGGGGACTCGTGTAATGCACACTTCCTAGCTGCCAGGGCTTTGATGTTTCCCAATGAATTTTCAATACAGTGAAATAGGTGTTATGCCCATTTTACAGAAGAGAAGATTGGGCATAAACAAGTTCGTTCCTTGCCTAGGGTCACACAGGTAATAAGGGGCAAAACAAAATTTGAATGTAAGCATATTTAAAGCCTGTGTTCCAAAACCTATATTGTTTCCATTATATCACACTTCCAGATATCTGTCCCAGTATAAAAATAGGCTTTGAACAATGCCTTCTCAACTCTGGAATAAAAATGCATCTGTGTCCTGATTTGTGTCTGGCACAATTATGAGAACTGCTAGTGTTCCTGGTGTTTTCGTCATAGATCCCCTCCACCCCGTGAGTCACTGGTGCCGGTGGGACTCACCCACAGCGCCTTGTCCCCCAGTGTCGTTTTTGATGAATAGATGATACGTCAGAGCCTGAATAAGGGCAGGCCGGCCAGACAGATTTCCAGAGAAGTAGTCAATAAAGGATGCTAAAACACTGTGGTGGAGGAAACTATTCATCAAAATTTCTCTCCAGGAGAATATTACACGTAGTTGGAACAAACACTACCCTAAGCCACAGAGGGAGAGCCCTGACATTCCCGAATAGCCCCGATTGCAGTGCATGCTCACTATCCTGTCTTCTGATGAGGTCAGTCCAGTTAACTGCAGGCTTCAGACTTGACTCTTCGGGGGGTGGACAATCTTCTTTCTCTACCCACCGGTACAGGCAGCTTCTCTTCTAATAAACACTGAAGAGGTATATAAATAATACCACTTTGAAGGGCAGCCCATTGCTCCTGCCTGAGCTGCCCACACGCTCTGGTCAGTTCTGTAGGTTCAAACGTCTGCCTCAGGGACATGGGCCTCCAAAATGCTGTCTCGTGGCCTGTGCTGACTTTCCATCATCGTCCTTGTCTCAAGACTCATTGCTAAGGCCGCCCTGTGTCTTCTCTCATTCCATCCCTCTTCCCTCAGTGCCCAGCCTCCAGCTCCTTCGACGACGGGCGTTGCTGTTCCTGCCACCACCAACTTCCAACCTGAGAGTGTGATTTTTCCAAAAGAAATGAGGGTGGGGCAAGAGGTAGAGCACCTGGCTGACTCCGTAGGTAGAGCATGCAACTCTAGATCTCAGGGTCATGAGTTCAAGCCCCACATGGGGCATGGAGCCTACTTTTAAAAAAAGAAAAATTAAAAGAAAAAAAAGGATCTAAATACTATGTGCGTTTTGACACGGCCTAAAAAGAAACAGATGAACTTCCAGCTTTTATAAACTTGCCTAAAAATGTATAAAGCAACTGTTTTTAGAGGATTCCCAGCTCTGACCCTGTCTCTAACCCTCATCCTATTTGTGAGTGACGATCACATGGAAGTGGAGTGAGGGATGAGGTAAGCACCCGCTTGGTAATAAAACCAGTGATCTTTAGGATACGATGCTCTTCTCTTAAAAATATCCAGATCAAAATGGCCACCTTAAAAAGTCCTGCTCCCGTATGAATAGCCGGGGTTTTAAAAATAATTTTTAGTGATCTTTTTTGTTTTGCACCTTGAAACAAAGTGGTATGTATTTCCTATTTTCTTAACGGTTGAATATCATGTACTTTGTTGGGGGAGGAAACTAACAGTTCAACAGTTCCTAAGACCTTTAATACAAGTAAAGTATTATCTGTGTGTCATTTGGGGCAGTGGTTACGTTTTCAAGACTCTGCCGTCTATGCTAACTGGCCAGGGATGTGGCTAGCCAGTGTCAAGCTCCCGCAGCTAGTGCAAGAGGGCCCTGTGGCTATGGGCAGCCTGTCTGATGGCAGTCCCCTAATGCACGATGCAGTGGTGATGCTGGCCTACTTTTGAGAGTAGTTCCTGAGTTCTGGGCTCCCCGTGTGGGAGCTGTGTGTTAGACGGGAGCTCCAGACTGCTCGTTCCCTGCCCAGACCCTTAGCCTGCCATCATTGATTTTATGGGGAAAGAAAGCATTTCCTTTTGTAAACACCACACCAGCGTCTTCAATAAGATGATGTAATGGGATTAATGATGCACTTTCCAGAATGCTCATCGATTCTGAAGATGGAAGTGGAAATTTGAGATGAGGCTAAGTTCTGTTTTGTCAACAATTGGCCACTCGGTTAAGCAAAGTATCCTCAGACAAACAGTGGGCTTAGTTGAAAGATAGGCTGGTATTTGAATACCCAGGGTTGGAAAGATTCTATCTAAGTTACAAACATTGCCAGGAGTATGACAGGTCTGAAAGTGACCAGAAAGGAAGAAAAAAAATAATG